CACTACTTTATACCCTTGTTTTGATGTTTCTCTCCCACTCTGTTTTTCACTTCTGACTGGAGCAACACAACAAAAGTGTGATCCAATGAAACATGTGAAGAAGCAAAAGCAACAGGGTATTTATGACAGCTGGATTTTGATAGATTAAAGAAGGCAGGAAGGCAAAAGCCACAGCAAAAAAAAGTAGGCTGGAGTAAAAAACACTGCAACCTATTGTAGCTGAAGAATTTCAGCTGTTTCAACCCCATTTTTTGCCCTCGTTTTGAAAACTATTGTTAAACGTTCTTTATATTATTCTTGAAATTCCTTGTGCCTTCATATCAGCCAGCCTTGACCAGCTTGCTTTGCACGCAATCCTCTTCTCACCCTTTTCAAGCATCCATGCAAGTACACACATCTTCCCCATGGATCTGTCACTATCCCTAAAAGATGCAACCGGACTTTTGTAAAAGGCAGGCTCAGGAGTGACTGAGAACAATTGGTGTTTCATAACAGAAGAACTGAGAAATATGAAATCCATGATGAATTCAACTGCAATTCTGGCATCTTTTAGAACTATGTTACTCTTTCCAACATCTCCTCTGAGAAGCCTTGGTCCTCTGCCCAGTATGCACCACTGTCTCTGAGAAGGCAGCATGAAGTGGACACTGGATACTGGCAGGAACAAACTGTACATTCTTACATTTATATGAAAATGTTGTTTTCAGCATTGCATTATATCTAAAAGAAATTAGAACAACACAAAAGAGCCAGACTTAAGTATTTAAGAAATTATGAATCAGACCTACAAAATATATGGAGTTGAATTTAATTCATATTTAAGGAGCTACTTTTGACAAAGTGTTTTCACAATCAGAAGTCTGACTGAGATGTATTTTCCAGATTTTTGGGGGGAACAGAGGATTAGATGCAGCCTGTATAATAATTTGTCTCTGGGAGCTGGACTTCAGTAAAATGAGTACAGAGAAAGATCTGGCAGTACTGGGGAAAAGTTCTACTATTTTTAAAAGTAGTTATTTATAAATAAAAACGCATTTCCTGAAAGCTTTATGTAGGAAAAATTCTGAGGTAAAAGGAAGCCTTTCCTAAATGAAAATTGAAGAATTACTTCCCAAAAAGTGAATGTGCATCTGGATAGTTATACAGGATATAAAGTAGCATGATCAGCTGTTAACATTATCAGTAAGTTTAGATTGGATTATTTATAGAATAAGACATTTCAAATCAAGAAGGTATTAATTACTAGTTGTAAGTGGAGGAGATCTTTACAGGAATTTTGCCACAGGCTTGAAGCATGCCTTCATTTCACTCAGGCTGGGTACTGAGCTCTAGCCATTCTAGTGCCTTCACAGATTAGTATAGACACTGCCCCAGCACAGTGCTTTGCTTGATTCATTGAGGGTAGTTTACAACAGTGAGGGTGAAGTTTACTAAATATTTTGTTTTTTTCATGGACATTCTAATTTTTACAGAACAGCCATTCGGAGTCATGCTGCTCTTAGAACCAATTAAAACATATTATGCAAAAACACAAAGAAGAGTTATCTATCAAATAAGGAGCAAATACATGTTCTCTGTAATAGTTATTGGAAGAACACTACTGGAAATTTATTGGTAGAATGACACCGTAAGAGGCCTGCTTCACCATGCTTCAGTGGCCATGGTTTGTAATTCTGGCATGGTTTCAAACATGTTGTAAAGCTTGTTTGACAGAAAATTGATTAAAAGCAAGTCACTGGTCCAATAACAGGATATCCACAACCACTTCTGCTCTGCTCTGTTGGTTCTGAATCTGTTCCTGCACTGCAGCATTTTGTGTTTCAGATCAGATACAGAATGTTTTTGAGTAATTCATGTCTCTGTTCAGAATGTTTTGTCAGTGCTATTTTTCCCTAACATAATACAGAAATAACCTCAAATAGAAATGGCAGATGTTCATCTGTGTATATAAGCACTGGCATGCCTCTTAATTTTTATCTTGCAAACATTAAGTATCTTGTGCTTATTACCAATGGCAACTCAAGTTGCAGCTACATCTAGGAATGATTCAGAGCTGTCTGACTGCCTACCATAAACTTTGTGCTTGTATTAGTAGAATAACCCAGATACTGAATATTTTCTATGAATTCTTTTTTAGACAACTAGGCCTAGTTTTATGTTAGAACTCTTAACATAATTGAAATATACCTAGGCAAAATAACTTGCATAAAAGAGAGGACAAACAAAGGTGATATTTATAAGAACAAAGTTAGATTTGCATGAACTTATATTTTAGATTTAGAACATACAGTTGATCCTGGTCAAATACATAAAATAGAGATGCAACATTATGCAATAAACTGACAGTGTCTTTTCAGAAAGCAATTAAAAATAATTTTTATATATTTCCACTTATATTTTCCTGTTGCTTTTATACAAGCAGATAGTGACAACGGCTCCTTCAAAGGTCACAGTACAGAACTGTAGAATTGCCAAAAGAATCAAAACTTCCAGACTAATTGTATTTCCAACAATATCATTTGCATATTTTACCTACAGTGTATTTATCATTATAATTAGATGGAAGATAGCAATTTTGCTTAGAAACAGAAAATTATCAAAATAAAATCTTGTATTCATTAAAGGCTGTAGTTAGTTAAATGTATATACCATTAAAGACACAGCAGAACGTAATATTTACTTTGCTGAACTTACTCATACTCATATTACTTTACCGTGGACAATTCTGTATACTAACACCAGAGCACCTCACAAATCCAAGTGTAAATACAAACTGTACAAAAGATTCACTTGTTCTACTGCAGGGATTAAACTGAGTTTACAGAACTGGTCTAGCATATGACACAGGATATATCCTCACCCACATACTTGTTCTTGCAAACAGATCTATGGTAATGTATCTAAGGTAATACATGTCTTTTGCCTTACTCAGGAATATGTCATGAACTTTACTGCATGCCTTGCAACATGCTGACTTCCACACATTTGCTGGAATCACCAGTTCCCAGAGTCTGTAACTTCTCACCCCACCACTACCCATCAGGAGTCTTTTAAGCATTGGAAGCTGCTAATCCCTTCCCAGTCTCACTTACTGTCAATTAGATTCCGGCTAGCTAGTCTTTCTCCCATCTTTCAAACACACCTGAGGCATACTTCCCATCGTAGAAAAAAAACAAAACCTTTGAATGCTTAAAGATTATCATTACCACATGGTAATGATGTTATCACAGCTCTGCAGTCTGAGAGTTTTACCATTTTCCTGATTCTCTCCCCATCCCATTGTGCCTGTGGGGGAATGAGTGAGTGGCTGTGTGGTGGCATTTAGCTGCCTGCCAGGTTAAACCATCAGCAGAATTCTTCTCCTAGCATATCATCACAGAATTCTACACAGACCCCTTTTGAGATAGTCAGGCAAATTGATCTCTGATGTGCAAAAAGCCCCTGGAGACCCTCTTGTCAATCCTTCTATAGTACCAAGATAATTCTTTGATGCAGAAATTGATGCATCTTTATTCTACAAGCAAGTATAACTTCATTAGCACTTTCAAACATTTTTGTTGGAACTTTTATTCAACAGGCAATGAAGAAACCTGACAGTCCTGCTTCTTTAAGCTTGTTCCATAAGTGTCTTTAATTCATCCCTCTTGGCAAGTATCTTGACTTTTTGGCAGGACCTTCTTGATTGCAGTTTCCCCATCATTCATTTTCCTTTGCCAGGCAGAAAAGTTGTTTTGCAGCTTAATTTCCGAATTGTCATCTTGCTTAACAGCATTGAGAGTAAATAATCTCAAACCTTCTTAATCTCTCCTGGCCTTTCTTCAGCACCTCGTACTTCAGGCTGAGTGCCACAGGCTTGTGATAAACTTTCTGTCTGCTCATGTCAGAAGTTTCACTACACTGTCGCTTGCTGGGCCTTGCAGTTCATACATCTTTTAGTCATTTAATATTACAGGGAACAAGTCTGTTACTGATGAGACATCTGTTCTGAGTAAGCTCCAGTACCGAGATCCCGCATTATTTATCCAGTCAATCATATCCTTGTAATGGCATTTGAAGCCTTGCAGGTCTATTTATTACTTAGCTTGTACTTTAATCTCATATTGCAGTGGGTGGAGGTATGGGACTCTTAACCAAAACACTGCAGTAGTTTTCCTTGGTTCCCATGCAGCATTACAATGTGCAGGTTGTATTGAGCACACAGTTGTCATTCTTCAGTTATTCACTGGCCATGGCACTCTACAGAAGAAGATGAGGCTTTTTTTCACATGCTGTGTATCATGGCTCGAGACCAAGAGTCCCCTGCTCTCATGCTCTCAACTTCCGTGTATACAGGATTTTCTGTAATTCCGCAGTCAAGCTGGTACTAAACATATTTAGTTACCAGCCAGTTGATCAGCAGAAAGATTATGCTACAAATGTTGTTAAAAGTACCTTTAGGACAGCAAAAACCTGTGCATTTTACAGGTGAAACCTGAGGGGGCACAGCGGGAAGCTTCGGGCCACTTGTGGGGCTGGGTGATAGCCGGCACTGCCAAAGCACCTCGGTGTAGCTCCCCTCACACACCGGAGGCCCCCTCCCGCCACGCCATGCCACGCCACGCCACGCCACGCCACGGAAAGGCACGGTCAAGGCCGCAGGTGTGCCTCGGCTGGCGGCGGCAAGGTCTGTGCGACCACGGGCCCCGCGTTTCTCTGAGGTGTTTGTATGAGGGGAGGGAAGGCGGCCCCTCCTGCCACCGCCCCGCTCACCCCCTACAAAACGAGGCGTCTCCCAGCCGCCGCGTCGGTGCCAGGCCGGGGCTCACCTTCTGTCCCCTCCCCGCCTTCCCCGGGAGGGGCGGACAATGCATCCTATACCCCTCTGTGGAGCCCTGCGCGGCGCTGCCTTCCCACACCGGCCTACCGGGAGGAGGAAGCGATACCCTCCCCTCCTCACCCCACCCTCCCTCGCTCCCTCCCGGTGCTGTCACGGCCCCTCCTCCCGCGTGTGACCCGCTGCCGCATGTGAACGGGGAGGAGGGACGGCGCTGCGCGGGCCTTACTGTGGCGGCGGCAGCGGCGGAGGCGAGAGGAGGAGGAGCGAGAGCCGCGGTGCGGCGTCTCCCCGCAGCCTCATCGCTGGGCCCCGCTGGCGCTCCCCATGCCCGTGTGGTGCTGCCGCTGCTCCTTGGCCGGTCACTTCAGGTGAGGCGGCGCAGAAGAGCGGTCCGTGAGTCAGGAGTGGAGTGAGAGGGCGGGGGGGCGGTGCCGGAGAGGAAGGGGGCACTGGCGAGCGCGGAGGGCAGGCACGGCCCCAGTGCTGCGGCCTCCGCATGGCCGCAGCGTGGTGGCGGCAGCGGTGGCGGCGACGGTCCCCGGCCCCTACTCTGCATCGCGCCGGGCCGGGCCGGTGGGTAGAGGCGCTGGGCCGGCGGCGAGGGGACGGAGGTGTCGCCCGGGAAGGCGCGGTGTGACCTTGGGCAGCGCGGAGGCGCAGCGGGGAACGAGCCGGCGCTTGGTGATGCTGCGTTTCGCCTTGGGGTTGGTAGCATTGCACTTCTGAGAGCCCGGTCCTGACGGGGCATTGCTTTTCTGCATTACTTAAAAAATCCCTAACAGCCTGGCAGCGTTGCTTCCCAGAGCGTCAACTTGAGACCAAATATAAATTCCTTTTATATAACGAGTTTCCTGTTAACGTGCTTAGAATCTAGGTGTTTGACAGAACCTAATTCTGGAGGTTATCTGGTATGACCAGCATAAGCTAAGCACTAGCTTTGGGACTGACTCATCTTTGTGCCCACTTGCATCTCTGCAGGACCAGAGCTGTAGTCATCTTTACCAAATCCCCTCCACTGCAAAACTGTCTACCCTGAGTTTTTATCAATATAAGAACTTCTGGTATTTGGTGGCTTTCAGTGCTGTTCAGAGGCTAGGAAGATGGTGGCCCCTAACTTAAGATCTTCATGAGTTTTGGTATATTCTTCCTGCAGAGGAAGAATGTGCTCCTGACAACAGCCCTTCATCTGCTTTGCATGTGCAGTAGCTGGGAAACTGTTGTATGCGAGTATTTCTATGCAAAATTAGATTCTGCCCAGAAACAGTTGGGTAGTTTGTGATACACCATCTGAACTGTACAAAAGCAACATTTTTATTGTTAAAGATTCTTTTGTAACCTACAGCACTGTGCAGATACCCCAGAAAAGAAGCTTTGGGATGTTTCGTTTGATTTGTATCTTCCAACTAGCACAGCAAGACCACCCTAAAACAAACTTACTTCCTTTAATCCTGTCTTTTGCAAAGCGTAGGGTAGTATTGCCTTAGTTAACTTTGAGCAAATTCTGGAGAATAATGTAGTCTACTTGTGCCAACCTAAAAATGGAGGTGAAAAAAGCAGTGTGATAATTAGATATCCTCTTGCTGCGCCTTCTTGCGTTAGTCTAACTCACACGGTTGTATTTTATGCGCCTCCAGGATCACGAAGTGCTAATGTGCAGTGGTACTCAAACAGTAAGCATGTAATTTGCAGACTTTCCTTGTTGTAGTACAAGGCATACACATATCCAGTTCTTGCTTTCTGAAATAAATACAATCTTAGAATAGCTCTCCACCCTTTTTAACAAGGAAGTAACCACCAGAGAGGTGTATAACAGTGTCTGCTAGTGCTGTTATTACTGTACAGCTTTGACTCTAGTTTGCTTCCAACTTCCCCATTGAGGAAAGGCTCTTGAAATACATAGCAGAACCTTCAGTGCTGTGGGAGTTGCAGCAGCACGTAGTGTACGCAGCTTCTTGAAGGCTGTGGGAATTGGATCAGCATCATATGCTTTCGGTCCTGAGTAAAAAATAATTCCTAAAGTACCAGAATAGTTTTAAGATACAGAGAGTCTTAGGCAACAAGTAAGAGTACTTTTATTTATTAATAATTAAAATTGTGTTTGTAAGAGGAAATTTAAATCAGTTGATTGGGTTACTTTTAATTAAAAAGTTAAGTCTTTTTTTGAAGACTCACTAAAATAACTGCTAGTTATAGATGATCTTTAATTTGCCTGTGCCTTTCTAGCTAAACTGATAGTGCATACTTCTTCAATGACCTTGAAAGGCTTCAGAAAGGGCTCCTAAATAATTAAACAGCAAACAAGATAAAACAAGTCTTCCTAGTCTAGAAGCATGTTTAGTTGGTGAAGAGTTGTGAGAGAAACCTAAGCAGAAGCTGCAGAGAAACGACTGAGAAATTGAAGAAAATTACTCGAGGTGAAAGCAGTCTGCTGTGCAATAGCTGACCTGGCTGCATGGCAGTTCCATTTGAAAAAGGGGGTTTTTAACAGTGGTAAAATTAGCTGTGTCTATGGCTTACAGGGATCACACTTTTCTCCATCTTCACTCTGCTGCCAGTTTTAACAAGCCTCACTTCTGCCCAAGCAGAAATTTGTTGAGGTGAGGTCCTCTGTGTTGCTCAGCAGTAAGGAAGGGATGAGAGCGGCTGCTGTGGTACTTTAGCTGCTCCTTCGGCCTTTGGCTGGCTTTAAGGATGTTAATTGGCTAGGTGGTGTGTATCTGTCCTCCTCTGATAAGGATAATGAGGAATGAGTTCTGTGTGGGGGATCAAAATAATGCTTGTTGGTTATAATTTGGCTTTGTATAAACCAGAATTAGAAATCTGCATCTCTGCAGAGCCATCTGTGCCTTACTGTTATCCTTCTGTAGACTTCCTAGGAGAAAATAGACTTTTAAAAAATCTTCTGATAGAAAAGACTGTTACTGTTATCCTTCTGTAGACTTCCTAGGAGAAAATAGACTTTTAAAAAATCTTCTGATAGAAAAACTGTGCTGAAAAGTAAAATTTTGTAGGTTGAATGGAAGCATATCTGTGTTGGTCTTCGTTTTGCCAATCCCATAACTCTTAAAGCATCAAAAGCAACTTTACTTCTGAAAAGAATGTTCTGACAGCAGTTCAGCTGTTTCATTTTAGTTTCCTCCCATCTGTCCTTGTTAATTAGAAGTTACAGCAACCCTGAAGCTGAAGGACAGCTTTTGAATTCCTTCACCCAGTATTTTGGTGATAGCCTCGGGAGGAAGATTAAAAGAATGCCTTTAATTGAAGAAACTGTTCTGCCTGGGGACTCCCTCCTTACTCTGCCTGTAGTGGTAATAGGTGAGTTTTTTCATATTAAGATTCTCTGTCATTGCCTTTATAGACCTGTTGCATGAAGTCTTTTATCATTAAATAGCTGATGCTTAGCATCCTTACAGTGAAGATGTTAGACTAATACAGTTGTCATGATTAACAGTCCTACCTAATAAAATTATGTTAAGGAACTTGCTGTTGGATTATATTTGAATTCAAAATTGTGCTTTGACAAAATGAGCTGCATTATTTGGCAGCAGATAACGTGAGCCTTAATGGAAGAGCTGTGTTGATCGCATTAGGGTTTCATGAATGCAGTGTGTCTACTTCAGCTTGTGTGAAGGTTGTTGATTGTGTACCAGTATAGATTTTTGCACTGAGGTATAATAGTGAATGTAAAATGTGTGCTACGTGTTGGTTAGATGCTAACCTCTCTCATTAATTGTCTTTTTCTTTGTTGCATCCATCACTAATGTCTAATTGTTGTCCCGTCTTTTCCAGAATGAGTCCAAATCAATTCAACCTGCTTAGAAAAATAAATTGTAGTTTTGATTAAATAGTTAAAGGCTTGTACTTGTAAAATCTGATTGAATGACCGGATAGCAGAGGAAGCAAGCTCCTTGGGTATTCAGCTTAATCGAGAGTGCCAGGATGATTTTTATTGGGCCAAGGTTTTTCAGCAACAGCTGGTCACCAGCTCCTTACTGCCATGACTTGATGAGGGGATAAAGAAAAGATCTGGAGTAAAGGAGGTTTTTAATAATCTAGTCCAAAGCTGATGGGACTACAGCAATCCAACAGCTTTAACTATACCTGCAAACAGGCAGTGATTCCAGAGAATGATGTTTCAGTGTAATGTACTCACAGTAAGTCTCCACAAATTTGAAGGACTGGTATTTTTAAGTGCCTGTTCTCAAAAGCTCTCTTCATGATAGCTTAAAATAGTGCTCATGTAATAGGCCTGCATGGATGTGACAGATGTGAATCGTTGGCTGAGTTCTGCATTATAGTTGAAGAGCAACAGTTTCCTGGCATTTTGTCAACTTTAGTACAGGTTTGCCATATGGTTAATGACTCAGTTTTCACTGTTTAGTTTTGCAGATATGCATAATGCAAAATACCTGCGCTTCATACCTCTTTTGTCTAGAGCACCATTCTGTGTGCTGACACCAAATACAGCTGCTGTGACTATTTTTCCTTGAAAAATAAATACATTCCCCAGATGTTTTTTTACACATACTTGAGACACTCCTTCACATGATGATCTTCTCCATTGGCAGCCTGCTATCACTAAAACATTGGCTGTCTGAAGAGTCTTAAAAGGGATCTAAAATCACTCAATAATAGTGTAGTAGAAGAATAGAAAAATAGTCATCCTCTCACGCATACACTCTTTCTAGTCCATGTGATTCCTGTATAGCTGGAATTAAACATACTTGTAGCTTCCTAGTGCCCCATCTTCTCATTGCACTATTTTTTTTAATCAGAAAGAAAAAGGGGGCACATGTGTAAGCAGTTAACTTAGTGATGGAATAATAACTTATATTCCCTTTCTTTAACTTTACCATTCCCTTTTACTTTACATGATGCCTGATTTAAGATTTGATTCTAAGCTTGTGCTGCATATTGTACTGAAGTTCTGCATAGAGTCCTAAGCTAATGTGGTAATACTGAGTAACTTCTGTGCTGTACCTGCCTTCAAGAAGTTGGGAAGAAATGAGTACATTCATTTGAATGGGTTGGAATTGAAGAATTTCATTCTGGAGCTCTTAATCCTAGAGGGCATTCTGTGCTAAACAGGCTGAGAAAGTTGGGTCTGTTCAGCCTGGAGGAGAGAAGGCTGCGTGGAGACCTCATAGCAGCCTTCTGGTACCTGAAGGAGGGCTATAGGGATGCTGGGGAGGGACCCTTCATTAGGGACTGTAGTGATAGGACAAGGGGTAATGGGTTAAAACTTAAACAGGGAAAGTTTAAATCGGATATAAGGAAGAAGTTCTTTCCTGTTAGGGTGGTGAGGCACTGGAATCGGTTGCCCAAGTAAGTTGTGAATGCTCCAGTCCCTGGCAGTGTTCAAGGCCAGGTTGGACAGAGCCTTGGATGGCATGGTTTAGTGTGAGGTGTCCCTGCCCATGGCAGGGGGGTTGGAACTAGATGATCTTAAGGTCCTTTCCAACCCTAACTTCTATGATTCTATAATCTTCTGCACTAGTTTTGATCATTACTGTGTAAGCACAATGTTTAAAGTTTTCATTCAAATAACAAGGCTTAAATTTAGACATATATGTAAAGATGATTGTACTCTAGTTTACTGTTGATAAGGAGAAGCTTCTGTTACTCTTCAAATAAAATATTAACTGCTCCTTAAATGAACAGGGCCATGGAGCTTGGGGGTATATTGATTGTATATCTAAAGCTTGTATAATTTCACACTATTGGAGGCAGGGTGTGTAAATAAAAAGCAAACTACTCAGGTATAAATTTCCCATTTCAGAAAGATTATTTCCTTATCCCCCTCCCCCCACAAGGATTTCCTGAGAAAATCATAGCAAGTCTAATTGCAGACTTTGCAGCTGAACCTTCATCTTGTGTGTCCTTGAGGGCATTATTGACAAGGGAATTTCTTTACTCTGCTGGAAGAATAGGAGCTGGATTTGGATCAGTTCTCTGGATGGTCCCAGGGAAGTGGCCAGTTACAGTAATTCACTTTGACATAATCCCATCCTCAGTAATTTTGCTGGCCTTTGTTTTGGCAACTTTTGTTACCCATTTGGCTCTTTTTAGCCTTATCCAGTAGGAATTATCTTTAGCACTGAATCCTTGGATATGGCACACATTTTTCTCTTTCTGTTGTGACTGGCTCCCTTTGCACCGCAGAAGGGAAAAAAAAAAAATCCAGCTATGCACTTGTGAAAAGAAACAAAAGCTGAGATATAATTCTAAAAACAGTTAAGAATTTACTCAGTCCTGGGAAGTTTGTGAACGATAGGTATGATTAGAGTGTTTTCACAACTTCATGTGATTTTTGTTAAGGATGGTTTCAGTGTATTGCTAGGCTTCTCTCTCACATCCATCTGATGGGGCAAGTGGGTGACAGGAAGGGCTTGTATCTAAGTTTCAAATTCTTTGGCTGAAGTGTACCCAGACGTCTCACACTGAACTCTTTGTACGAGGGTAGAATAGTGAGAGAGCAAGGAAGAGCATTTTCATTGTCTGAAAGATACTTTACAGTTTATTTTTGCAAATGGCAAAATAGGAATCCAGGTGATTTGTGAAATAATAAAGGCAGAATCCACCAGTATTTAAACCTTTAATTACAGAAGAAGATCCCAATGACAGAAACCCGCAGCTTTCTGGAGAGTTTTTTCCCATGCATTATGGTCCTTGGAGTACACAGGTGCTCTAAAGCCTCTATTTTTGCCTCCATATTTGGGTGCAAAAACTAGATTGTTGGGCAGGAGCCATTCTCGCATACTTACTTGGTGTCTAGGCCATCGGAGAAAATGTGCTTAGTGAAGATTTCTTACAGCTTAGCAGTCTTAGCCTTTGAAGAACTCATCTACAGTGAGCCTACATGATTTTCTTGTAGCCCACGGCTGTGACCAGTCTGTGTGCACAGAATTGTAGTAAAGGATGGGATATACTGCCACTGGGGACCAGAGTCATGAGTGTAGCCTGGTGGAGGAGGAAAAAGAGATCTGGGAATGAGCAGGGTCTCAGCAAATTGATGAAGGATTTAGACCCTGGGAAATCAGAAAAGAGAGAAGAGATGGGCATTGGAAAAGCAGGTTTGTTAACAAGGTGATGGAAGTGGTGTGTGCTAAGGTGATGGGGAAACAGGAAACTGACAGGTGAACACTTGAGATCAGAAGTTGAAACAGTAGGAGGTTAAGAGCTATCAACCCAACAATGACTGCTACATAAAAACTGTGAATAAATTAGAAACAATATCTTTAGCCCAGAATTTGAATGGGGTGTGGTAAATACCACGTAAATGCCACTCTAGATGGAAAACAAAGACAAAATACTCAATAGTACCTTATTAGGAGAATACTGTGCTTTCATTCAGTCAGAGGAAGAAGAGCTATATAAATAACAGTACATAGTCATGTGTTTAAATTCTGTATCACAGCACATACTTTTCTGACTTCAACTTTCCCTGACTTTCTATATCTGACTTTGCAACATGAACATTATTTCTGTATTTGCATGTTATAAATGTGGTCCCCTACTTTGTTTAATACTAGTCAAATAAACAGAAATAATTACCGTACAGTAATGCTTTTGTCCCATCCATTTCACACTTTTAATAACATTCTGAAAATAAGTTAGTCTATTAAAATTGCAGTAATGCACATATATGAATTATAAAATGCTAAAACAAGGATAAAAATGTTTGAATTGATATTGTTGCTGAATGATGAATGTGGTCTCACATGAGTTTCTTGTTCTTTACACTTACCTGCTCTGTCTTCACTCAGCTTTTATGCTGCTGTTGTGCTGTTTCTGTATCTTCTCCTCTGACTTGCAGTCTTCAGCTTTCTGCTTGTCTCTCCTCTTTTTATTTTATGGGCAGACCTGAAGGGCATTTGCTCTAGGTTGTCTTTCTGTTCTGTGTTTTAAAGTACCCAGTGTGAATAGGAATGCAAAGTTGTAAGATGGCAATAATATTCAGATATCATTGTGATTGACAGGCAGACCAGATCTTACCATTAGACCTTTTTCACACGAGTTTAATGAATTTGAGATACTAAATTATGAAACTCCTATATATGCGTTTTGTTTCATGGTGTAAACAGTCCCATGTTTTTTGTTATCTGAAAGATTTTGCGCAGTTTATTTGGAGGAAATTCCTATGGTAGGCTTTATTTTACTGTGAAGTTTGTAAGCTACTTTCAGTCAGGTAGTATAACGTTACACTACTTTAGTACGATTTTGTTGCCGCTAATTTAGTGACATAAAAAGTTAGTTTATTGATGTTTTTACTAAAGCAGTAACTTATTTCTTTAATAGGAAATGGACCTTCAGGAATTTGTCTTTCTTACCTGCTCTCTGGGTACAGGCCGTATTTATCTCCTGAAGCTATACACCCAAACCCCGTTCTACATACGAAATTAGAAGAAGCTCGGCATCTTTCCATTGTGGATCAAGTAAGCTTTGGTTACCATCTTGTCTAGCTCTTTTCCTTCTGCTAGCTGGATTATGAAACAGTAGACTTTCTTTAATGATCCTGTTTAAAATGTTTTTACAACTTACATAAGTAGTGTCATAGATAAGAAAAAGCGTAATGTTCTCAACTCACAAAGAATTAGACCACAGTGAAGCTTGGTAACAGTATGACCTCAAAAACTAGGTTTTTCTCTTGGCCTCTTTTTTTCCTACCTGTAAAATAGAGTGGTATATACCTTCTTCTGTGGCTTGTAACAAATTATATGTAGGGCACTTCAGGTGAAAAGCAGTGCATTTTAGGAACACTTATCCCCCAAAATTCTGCAGATTGCATTGTGAAGAACCAGCCTACTTACCCAATCTTATTTCTAGTGCATTAGTAAGTTACTTTGTTATGCTGATAATTTAAATACAAGCAACTCATGACCATTAGATCTAGTCCTGGGGCATGTAGTTGTTTTTGTGGTTATTTTTGTGGCTCTTGAGGGCTCTTTGTTTGTGGTGTTTTTGTTTTATAAACTGCCCTTTGTTGTGTTCTTACTTGCCAAAAGTGTCTAAAGCACCACTTGGTCAGTGAGTAGCTGATGCAGGAATTCCAGCTTTCACATCTAGGATGTTTGGGCTTCATCATCAGACAACACGTGCTGCTAACATAGTTTGAGTACACATACTTAAAGTTAAAATCTTCCTAAATAGTACAGTTCTCATTAAAACTTAATTATTAGTAACATTAGGGGCATATACCCTCTATAAAAACAATCTGTTTTTCTCTTCTGAACAGTCTGTATCCTTCCTGTTTGTATTACAGCATGAGGCAATCGCGAGTGCATGTTATGCTTGTATGCATCCAATTTTTCTGTCTGATTTGATTAGTTAAATCTTCTCCGTTATTTTTATTCTCACGTGTCCATTTGTTTGCCATGTTATCATTTTCTACTCACCTGACTATAGTCCTGACTGATTACTCACAGTGCTATCACTAACTGCATTGCCTGTGTGACTAATTAATTTGAAATACAGACATGCATATGTGTTGTAGTGGGGAAATGGGTTGGCTTTGTTTTGTTACAGTTTAGGTTTTGGTTTTTTTTTCCTTGATGTGGTTTTTTTGTTTGTTTTGGTTTTTGTTTGTTTGTTTCAGTGCCGTGTTGTTTACATGTAATGTTGACATTAAGTCTCAAAGTTTATTTTTTACTATGTGGATGGTGAGACACTGGCACAGCTTGCCCAGAGAAGCTGTGGCTGCCCCATCTCTGGCAGTGTTCAAGGCCAGGTTGGACGGGGCTTTGGGCAGCCTGGTCTAGTGGAAGATGTCCTTGCCCATGGCAGGGGTTTGGAACTGGATAATCTTTAAGGTCCTTTCCAACCCAAACCATTTTACAATTATTTGATTTGGTAGGAGGGTAAGTTGCCTCAGCCTTTGGCTACAGATGTTTTGTGTACTTCATCCTCTCCCGACCACCTGATATTTTCCGAGTTTTGGAAGCAAAACATTTTGTCAGCAAAAAGTGGCTTTATGGCCAGTTCTTTCTTTTCAGATATTTGCTATTGCATTGTGGAATTTTTAGAACAGAGATGGTTAACAGATGCTGCAATGTGAACATTTTTATGAAGTTCTAGAAATGGTTCTCAACATTAACTGCTTTGTACAATAAGCCTATGTTTTTTTAATCAGTTTTTAAAAGTAATACTTACCTCCATTGTTTCAAAATATACTAAAGTTACTGTTGGAACTACCTAAGAGCTATCAAAGGAGCTTTTACTACTAGATGTTTAAATGTTTTTAGATACCAGTTTTGCTTTTATCAAAATGAGGCTCCTAGAAATATTAGCAAGTCTTTGTTAAAAGAATTGTGCTCTCTATAAACATAAATGTTACTAAGTTGCTCTGATCTCTGAATATTTGTTCCTGTATTTCTTTTTGTACAATGAATTTCAAATACTGACCAGCCTTGGTATTACTGTGTAATTAACATGTAATTTTTAAATGAGTGAAATGTATTATTTACAGTTATAGAAGAACTGAATCAGTTAATTCTGAAAAGTGTTTTGTTTGAATCTCTACATGAAATACTTACCTCAACTTAAAATGCAACTTCAATTATGGTTTTTTGTTGAAATTCAACTTCTGGGCTTAAACTATGACATGTGCATCAGAATAACATGAACGGGAGAAGTTGTATAAACATTCCACTTTTTTGTACTCTAGGATCTGGAATACCTGTCTGAAGGTCTTGAAGGACGCTCTTCAAACCCAGTGGCAGTGCTTTTTGATACGTTACTTCATCCTGATGCTGACTTTGGATATGACTACCCACCTGTTTTACACTGGAAGCTAGAGCAACATAACTACATTCCCCATATAGTGCTTGGTAAAGGACCACCTGGAGGGGCGTGGCATGTGAGTAAAAATTTCATATCACTTCTATGGTAACTTGGTAATTTTGTGGTTTGGGTTTTTTTCTTGGTATCGAAGGCTGGTTTAGATGATAATGGCAATTGCAATTTCAACTGCTCAGTAACTGAAGCCAAAATATGTTAGGGAGAGGAGAAGGGAAGGAAAAAGTTGTCCTTCATTTGGAGATTTGTAACCATGACTGCTGTCTTATGTGTTTTTATTAGCTTAAACTTAATGAATTATAACGAAGAATATTTTCTATGACTTTTTTCTCTTGTCTGCATTGTTTCCATGTGCTTTCACACAAAATATTAAATCTTAATGTGTTCATATGCTGTTGGTTTCACACTTTCTTCCTGTTTTGTACTTTAAATAACTTGGTTTTAGTTTCCCTTTTACTTGTTCTCTCTTCACCTTCTGCTTTATTAGGTTGTGTAGGTGCTCATTAAAATAGTACCTAACTGTAACATGAAAACAGTTAATCAGCACTCATGTCATGTCCTGGTATTGTGTTATGGTCTGGTATTTTATTGCTCCAGATGAGGATAATGAGGTGAACTTCACTGTGTTCTGCATAAATGTATCTGTTGAAGTGTATCTGGTCACGCATCTTTTTCTCCACAGTCCATGGAAGGTTCTATGCTAACAATCAGTTTTGGAGACTGGATGGAATTGCCTGGCCTTAGCTTTAAGGAGTGGGCAGCTAACAAACGCAGGTAAAGATACTGCATAATGTGTTTGGGAAATCTAGTTACTCTGAGAATCCAAATGTTATTTTGAGAACTGGAACAGATCTGCCCATGGCAGGGGGTTTGGAACTAGATGATCTTAAGGTCCTTTCCAACCCTAACTATTCAATGATTCTATGATTCAGACTTCATTGTTCACAAAAGAGCTTCTTGTTTTGTTTATTACATTGCCTGATGGCACTGAAAATTATTCTGCTGTGTGTACTCCAATGGAAAAAAATGGACAATGGTCAGCCAGAGTAATTGCTTTGAGTGCATCCACATTTGCTTTTGCGTAAAATCCTACATACTAGAAGGCGGTGCACTGTTACTCTAAGCAGTTTTGGTCACAGCTGAGGGAAGATTGAGGAAAGAATTTAAAATCAACTGAAGTGTTGAAAGTTCCTCTTTCAACATGTAGGCAACTTAAGCTGCTGTGCACACTAGCTTTCTTATAATTTAGGAAGTTGTGTATTTCAGTATTTGCTTTTACAAATACTGAAAAGGCAAAGCTGCAGCATCTGAAATGCGGCTGTCTATATTTTAAGAGTATAATTCAGTATTTCCCAATGTTATTTTCCAGTAGTAAGTTTACTGGAAAAAATAGAGAACAAAAATTACTGCCTTGTACAAGCTCACTGTTTTTACTTCACTTACACAATTAGTTCATAAAGGTCTGTCAGCAGATGAACCTAGGAACACTACATAAGCTTTTTCTGAAATTTTAATTTTTCTGACTTGGTTCTAGTAAAATTAAAGGAAGTTGTTCTTGTACCATGTATGGCAAAAGAAGTAGAATTACTTGGGTGTATGTCTTTAATGGCAGACTGTTACCATTTCAGGACACCACTGACAGTGAAGAAACCATACCTCGTTCTGTAACAGCTTTCTTGGATAACCACAGTAATCTTGCCTCCTTATCAACTGAAATCCCATAAGCTGCTTATTATCTGAAGCTAATTTGTTTATATTACATCTTTCAACAATACTAAACCCAGAAATGCTGCCTTGTGATAAGTACAATTAAAAAATGTATTTAAAAGTATTGATGATAATGAAAACTTCAAGTCACATGAAATAGTTTCCTAAATTTCATAGTAACAGGTGTGACACTGTCACATTATCCTCTTCAATATAAACCTCATCAGGATTTCATAGTAGTAACCTGAACATTTAAAAGCACATACATTTACCTTTTTAATCCATGAGAATGAGTCACCCGATTTCTTGTAAATATACAGTTAAGAATAATTCAATGGCAAACCTGAAGTTTCTTTTCCCTTATTCCTAGAGCATACTTCTAAAGGCAAAATTTGTGCACCTGTTCAAAATAATTACATTTTCAGCTTCATTTATAAATGATAATGCAGTAAACGTAAGAGAAGTATAGATGTAATACCAGGACTGCAGTGCAAAAATGTTTTTTATCAGACATTTGGACATCATAACCCTGTTTGTGTCGTTGCATTAAGGTTCTGTGTCATACTTGCTTTGTTCATTCCTGTGAAGTGGAACTTAATTTGATACTTAGTGGCCTTACCTGTGTCCAAGGGAGAGGTCTTCTACAAAGTTTGATGAAGAATACTTTACTCAAGTATTGTATCGAATCTAGAGTTTGAAAGTTAACACTCAACAATTACTATGGTATTTAATTACTCATATCCTAAGTCAGTGTATTCTGAGTACAAGTTTAGCACTTCACATTGTAGATAATTACCGCTATTAAAAAAAAAAGTTAGCTTGTCTTGTATATCAGGAGTCAAGACAGCAAAGAAAATGAATGTGTTTAAAGATACTAAGGTCAGTGTCAGTTACACTGAGTAGATTCAGTTCTCTTAAATTTGACTGTCTTGTGGTATGTCATGTATGATATTCAGGTTACTGGTAAGGTCTATATATTAACTGGAACCATTCAATTTTGTTTCAGAAATATAAATAGTGATCGAGTAATGCCAGAGGAAATAGCTTGTTATTATAAGCACTACGTTAAAGTCATGGGCCTCCAAAAGAATTTCAGAGACAACGTTTACATAACATCAGTATCCCGGCTTTACCGAGGAAAGGATGATGAAGATAGAACTCAACTAAATGAAAATATTTCAACACAGCATTTGGAAATGGAAGATGGACAGAAATCACTGATTAAGAGAAACTGGGAAGTCAGAGGTTATCAGCGAGCAACAGATGGTTCTCACGTGCCCTTCTGCCTCTTTGCTGAGAATGTGGCCCTTGCCACAGGAACCTTTGATTCTCCTGGCCGACTACAAGTTGAAGGAGAAGACTTTCCTTTTGTGCTTCATTCTATGTCTGACTTTGGAGCTGCTATCAGCAAAGGAAAGCTCCGTGGGAAGCCAGACCCTGTGCTAATTGTGGGTGCTGGACTTACAGCAGCCGATGCAGTACTGTGTGCCTACAACAACAACATCCCAGTAATCCATGTGTTTCGTAGAAGAGTTACAGATACAAGTCTAATTTTCAAACAGTTACCTAAAAAGCTTTACCCTGAATACCATAAGGTCTATCATATGATGTGTACTCAGTCCCATACTGTGGACTCTAATCTACATTCTGCTTACACTAGTTTTCCTGAGCACAACGTACTTTCCTTCAAGCCTGAAATGAAGTGCGTTCTTCAGAGTGCCTGTGGACTGAAGAAAATTTTGAAGTTTTCTGTAGCCTTAGTTCTAATAGGTTCTCACCCAAATCTTTTCTTTCTTAAGGACCAAGGACATAGTATAGGTCATCACTCTAATCAGCCCATCACATGCAAGGGGAATCCTATAGAGATTGATCCATACACTTATGAATGCACTAAAGAAGCCAACCTCTTTGCTTTAGGTCCTCTGGTGGGAGACAACTTCGTACGTTTTTTAAAAGGAGGTGCACTGGGCATTGCACGATGCTTGGCAATAAGGCAAAAGAAGAAACATGAATTGATTGAAAGTAGAGATGGAGGAGGTGATGGGGTACCATAAATGAGACGTTAGAAACTCTCACATACAGAATTATAGACGTAGTCTAACAGAACACTCACTGGCAGCGAAAGTTGATAGCAGTCACATTTCTGTTGTGTACAAGTAACCCACCTGCGCTTGTATTGCTTGGTAAAGGATGCTGATACTACAGTACTTCACCTTTTCAAAACACAAAAAATCGATCTGCTATTACAACTGATCTCTACTCAACTGGAATTACTTCCAGATAAACAGAAAATGAGACTAATTTATATTGACCTGCCTGTCATCTCTTGCTCAGCTAAAAGAGCAGACTTCCTCTGGGAAAAGCAATGCCTACCAGAGTGGCTACACTTTAGTGTCAAATGTGACAAAATATTCCCACCATGAAATAACTTCTAAAAGCAGAAAGCTTGCTTAGTGCAAAGTGATTCTTGGTCCCAAAGCAAATTTGGAGCCTTCTGCTTGAAATAAGGGTTTTATTTATTTGCCATAGTAACACAGTAATACTTGGGATGAGCACTTAGTAAAATGGGGTTTACCCTAAGAAGGATTTCTGTAAGCAAGAAGTATTCCTCAACAGTTATAAATTATCCTATTTGATAATTTGAGTAAATGAATAAGCATTCCCATTTAATCTTTAACAAATGATTTTACAGAGTCTGTTAATGGTCTTTTCACATTACGCATAGAGTTGGGTGAGTGCAGAAAGACTAACATCAGATGTTCCCCTATGGTGGTATGTACATTTCTGAGAATACTCATTAACGTGAACAATAAAGTACTGACATAAGTGCTCTTACTACAGTGTCAATATAATGAATATGTAGTGTACTACTGAAAAACTTAAGAGAACTTCAGGCTTTTTTGCTTCCTAGCTCAGGAAGACTGAATGGGATCACTTGACCAGTGAAGGCTGGAAGGTTGGTGATAGATATTCTCATCTCCATTTGACCAAGTATTGGTTATTTCTTTTTCCTTTTTAAGAGCAGCACGTAACACTGAAGCTGTTCTAGTTTGCAGATTTTGAAACTTGAAAAAGAGCTATGTCTCACAGCCAGCTAAAAAACAAACAAACCAAACCCAAAACAAACATGCTGTACTTCCTATAAATCTCAAGGCCTCTTATAAAAGACAAAGACTTAACTTGTACCTACCTCTGAATTGAAGTTTCACATTTCTGCTCCATAATAATATAAGCCCTAGGTTTCATTTGCTGGGTTTTAGAGTAGTTAGTTTACCTAAACACACTCATGGGTCATTCACCATAGCAAAGTAAGCAACAGCTAGTTAGAAAAGTTATTTTCCAGAACTCTCACTAGACAAAAGTGCTTGGTTTTAACTGATTTATTAACACATTTTAATTCAGATCCAACATGATGGAAATAGGTGTTATTTTTTTTGTTTGTTTGTTTCCTTGAGGTATTTTTATGTTGAAGAATATCATGTTAGTTTAGGGTATTGTGTTTGCATGATTAAAATCTCCATGTTAGAACTTGAACAGATTTTAAAAAGGAAATCAGGCTTAGACTTTGTGAAACTGCTAGTGCTTGCTGGTTTCCCAGCTGTCTAATAAGTTGTGGATGCCTTTATGCAATAAATGCCTGTTTTCTGTGCCTACTGAATTATGGGGTTCTGTGGCTACTGCAGACCTTTACACACCTGAGTAAATTACTCATGCTTTGGACTTAGAAGTTGAAAAGGTAAAGTATGCAAGGATTAAAGTGACTGTATTTCCCATGGAAGTCCAAAGAAGTTTGTGAAACGATGCTACTGCTACTACTGAATTTTAGTTTAGAGCCAACTTAATAGCAGAAAAATTAACACAAATGAAGCAATGTTCATATTAATTTCTGCATCGCCTACATGGTTGAATTTAACCATTCATTGTCAGTACTAGTTAAGATACTTTTTTATACTGGTGCTTTAGCTAGGTTTAATTATTCTAAATTCTAGGCTTATTTTCTTCATAATTGGATTGAGATTCTATAATTTCCCTTCTTTGACAGAAACTGTGTATATATAAATACATCCTAAACCTGTAATACCTAATAATTTTAACTGAGAATCAGTGTTACAAGTGCTAAATACTTGATTATGGAACTTTATTGCAATTAATATATTGGGAATACATCTGCGCTCTGATTAAATTCTTTCAGTTTTGTGTCAATGTAAGCGTCCAAATACAACATACCATGGCACGTTACTGCTTTTTCATTTGTCGTGTGAAGTATTTAAAATACCAAGAAAACAGGAAGCGATTTACTTAACCACTTACTTTGCAAAAAGGAAAGTAGCTTCAAAAATCCAAATCTCTAGCCTCAGCTGTTGCAGCTGCTTACAAGCTGTGTGTGTTGTAGTGACAAATTGGTAGAAGAGATTTTCATCCTGTTACTATACAGGTATCTTTCAATGCAGTATTACAGCACCTTGAGGTTTAACTGCATTATTTTCTTCTACCAGTCTTGCCAGTGTTTCTGAAATAAGAAATTGCATGTGAGACCCCTTCTTTGGGCAGAGACATTTTCTCAGAAGTCATGTTTATTAAGCCAGTATAAAAATACTGTTTTTCAACTAAAGCTTTACTAAAAAAATCATCCTGTTTCTTGTAGGAATTGCTGGGCTTGAAGTCATGGATGGATTTTCTCACTTTTGGGTTTCTGATTTTGAGAGGAATTTCTGTTTCTTGACTCTTTGTTAATTTATGAGAAAAAGAAATGTAAAAATCAGGCTTTGCCTTGGGATAGTTTTACCTAAAGCGTGGTATTGTACTTAAAGCAATATTGTGGATTTGGTGTTGGCACTGAATTGTTGTCTTTTGAGGAAATACTTTTGTATCTCAGATTTAAAAAAAAAACAAACAAACCAAACAACAAAACATTTGACTTTCCTGTATGATATAAAAGTTCTCAGAAGGGAAACTTTGCTTCTTTCAGCTCTTCTTTCAGTGAGAAAGATATGCTTTTAAACATCATGAATTTAAAAAGTATGCTTACTACTAAAGCTTTGTTACCAAAATACAGACAATATAATTTTTAGCAAAAGGAATTTAATTTGGATTTATAGAATTTGTAAAGATAGGCTAACACATACTATGTATTTTCTAAGTCTAGTGGTAGGTAGCTCTAAAAGGTAGAGTTAGAGCAAGTCCAGAGGAGGGACATGAAGATTAAAAGGCTGGAGCCCCTCTCCTATGAAGACAGGATGAGAGAGTTGGGCTTGTTGAGCCTGGAGAAGGCTCTGGGGAGACCTTAAAGCAGCTTCCAGTACCTAAAGGGGCTCTACAAGAAATGTACAGAGAGACATTTTACAAGGGCATGAGGGCCAGGACATGGAGGAATGGCTGACAGGAGATTTAGATTGGATATTAGGAAGAAAAATACTTTACTGTGAGGGCGGTGAGGCACTGGCACAGGTTGCCCAGAGAAGCTGTGGCTGCCCCACCCCTGGCAGTGTTCAAGGCCAGGTTGGACAGGGATTTGAGCAACCTGCTCTAGTGGAAGGTGTCCCTGCCTGGGGCAGGGAGGTTGGAACTGGATGAGCTTTAAGGTCCCTTCCAACGCAAACCAGTCTGTGATTCTATGAAAATGTCTCTTACAACTGTGTTCGGTTCTTAATGCTGAATGTGTCTCCTAGCTAAATTACTGCTAAGTAGTATCCAGCTGCTGAACTGGGACTAAGATTTGTCATAGTAGATTTCCCAACAGTCTGCCTCATATGTGATTAGTTGACAGTAGGTGCTTGTTAATGAAGGTAAGAAATAGCACAGCCTTTTTTAGTTTCACATAGATGACTGACTTCTGCTTAAAATACCATCCACAAAAAGTGAGGCTAAATTTCATCCTGGTGAGTAAACACAGAAATCCTTTCTGCAAGTAATCCAGAGAGTAGTGACAATAACACTGGATTCTTCTCTCTCCGGAAAATGCATTGTCTTGGGCCTGCACTTGCCAGTGGAAGTATGGAAAGAGGATAGCTCCCAGAAACAGCACTTGTGCATTGAGTAAGGGACACCAAAGTGCATCCCACAGCTGTAGGTCCCTAGTCTGCAGCACGCAGGCAACTGTGGGGGTACACTGTATCTTCTTTCTAGCCTGGTAAGTGGAGGCACCTTTTTTAGTGATGAATTTCACAGTGATGGTTGCATAATAAAAAAATAATTTTGTAGAAGGAGGTGGCAGTACCTTCTTTCTCTGCACAGCTCAAGAACTGTGAAAACAAGGCTAGGGCCAGAAATTCAGAGTACTTATTCAAAGCAGGAGGAAATTAAATTAAAACCCAAACTTTGAGGCAGAGCCGACCGACCTGGCATATCCATTTGAGAGGAAGAAAAAGCCAGTTTTAGGCCAACTGCTCTGGAGATAGAAAGAAAGGGTGTCAAATTTACAAACTTCTAGTGAGTCCTCACTGATAACCAGTGATGACCCAGTAAGGAGCAATGGGGAAAAGCAGTAAATGTGAGCAATGTGAACTACAGACCTGTAGGGCTGAAGTGAATCCATGCAGTGTTGATGGGCTGGTGGTCTCCCATGCTCTTCTGTCAACATCTATACACTGCACCTTCAGAGGTGTGTGTTGGAGCTGTTACTCAACAGGTTGCCATAGATTTTTAACTGACTATTAACTGAAGTTACATGGAAGTGCAACATGTATATGGACTAGAAGCAATTTTATTTGCTCCAGAAGCTGTAGGAATGCATCAGTAAGGTGGTGTGCCAAGAGGAGAGATCTGGTTGCTCTGGTATCATGTTTTCTACTTCTGAGAAAGCAAGCAGGTATTTTCATGTAATAGTGGAATGCGCGCTGTAACTACTACCTTCCAAACATTTCTAAACAGCAAGAGGTAGCACAGGTATGCCTTAAAGGCAGCTGATTATTCAATTTTATTATCATCCACATAGCAATGATTTAATTTTGAAAAATTTATAGAACAAAAAATAGAGGTTTATACTGTTACATTTTAATTTAGATAATATTTTAAAACCTTACAATAACAATGTCCTGTCATAATTTTGGATTTTTTTTGAGGTGAGAACAAGACGTGAGCATGGTACCTCAGCTGATGTGAGAGATTTTTGGAGATCTACTTCCCCCATTTTCCCTTTCCCAACCTGAAAGAATAGTCATGCTTTGTCCGAAATGACCATAATATCTGATTCTTTTTAGCAGAAAGAACGGAAACTTAAACATTCTCTGACAGAGAAAGTAAGGTTTTGGTGACATTAGGTACAAATTTGAAGTGAGGATATTGAATATTTTTTTACTGAAAAAGATCATATTTGAGGGGTACGGTACACCTCAGTTGTTCAGCTTAGCTAATTTTTGAAGCTTGAATTACACAAGGAACTGTGAGGTCAAAGATGAATTTGGTGTAAGGAACAAGGGTTATGGGGTGGGAGAACCATTTACAGTATAATACAGTAATTATAGTGAAGCTAAGCACTGTTTTAAAGATGGTTTTATCTTTGCAGACAATAGAACATTTCATCTCAAGCAAATCCTAACCCTGAGCTTGCATTACACCTGACTGCATGGTAGCTTATTTTCTAACAATGACAATATGGTACTTACAGGGCACATAAAGCCAAGTCTTAAAACTTTGTGGTCATCAGTAGTCATCAAAACCAGGAAGATTGGACATGCCAGCATAAAGAAAACGAACAACTAGATTTGTTGTATATTTACAAACTATTACAGAATTCTGGCATTTTTAAATTCTTTTTTTAACTCTGTGTATAAAGAAAAAAATAGTTGTCCACAAATACAGAGTCAAGGCAATCCAAGAGATACGATACACTTCCA